ACACCAGAGACCAAGGAACAGTCGAAACAGTGGACTTCACCTGGCGAAGGTGCTCCGAAGAAGGCGAAGACTGTCCTATCGGCCGGAAAGGTGATGGCCACCGTTTTTTGGGATTCAAAAGGTGTGATCTACATCGACTACCTGGACAAGGGTAAAACGGTCACAAGGCTCTACTATGCCGGATTATTGGGCCGATTCGACGCCGAATTGCAGGAAAAACGGCCTTATTTGGCGAAGAAAAAAGTGCTCTTCCACCATGACAACGCACCGGCTCACACCTCCGCCGTCGCCACGGCCAAATTGGTCGAATTAGGCTACGAACTGCTGCCTCATCCACCGTATTCTCCAGATTTGGCCCCGTGCGACTTCTTTTTGTTTCCAAACTTGAAAAAGTCACTCGCCGGGCAGAAATTTGAGTCGAATGAGGAGGTTATCGCCGCCACGGAGGCCTACTTTGCAGACCTCCAGAAACGTGAGACATACAATCGATGAAGAGGATAAACTCTTCGAAGTGGATACTAACTTTGATGAAGACGAATAGGAAAGTGCAGATACAGGTATCTACCATATAATACAAAGGTATCAAGCATTGTTGAAGACTGCTGACAGCCTCAAAATAAAGAATGTTCATAAATTTGTCAATAACTTACTGTCTTGCAGTAAAAGTTACATGTCCCGCAAATTAGGACATTCATTTCTCTGTTATGCTGAACCTGATACATGTTCTTCGACATTTTTACCAGTTTTACTTGTAGCCCCTCATTTTGTCAATGTAAGAGTTATAAAGAGAATTATTTGTAGAATTTTGGAACAGTACAATAATATACAGAATCTTAAACTTCGTTTATCGCAAATGCCAATAGAACATAGATTGTGCACATTGAAGTGGGATGAAATGTCAATAAAACAATGGGAGGAATATTCGGCATACTTGGACTGTATAGAAGGACTCGTCGACTTAGGAAATTTGAGTCGATATCATCAAAAAGCACGTTACGTGTTTGTATAAAAATATGGCCACCTTATATCCCGAATAAGAAGCAAAACGATTGCGGTCCGTCCCGAATGTATTAAACAGCTGTGACTCGAATTGTCGTCCTCTATCCGTAGTAACCTTTTGCGGGACACCGAATCTCAAAATT